TTTGCAACTTAGGAGGTGTGTCCAGGTGGACCTACTGTAGTCATCTACCAGGGTTAGGAAATATTTGAAGTTATTGTGTGTGGACACATGATAAGGGCCCCACAAATCCACATGAAGTATCTCAAAGATCTCAGTAGTTTCTGTTGTTCTTTGGGGAAAAGGAAGTCTGGATTGTCTTGCCATGGGACAAATATTGCATGTAAAAGGCTGTTTGCTAGAAAAGGTTACAGGTATAGCAGGAATTCCTTTCATTTTACTAAAAGGCACATGGCCAAGTCTGAAATGCCACAGAACATCTAGATTACTAATATGAGATGAAACAGAAAACAAAGTAGGGCTACTGTCTTTATTCTTGGTGTTGTGAATGGAATTATTTACAATTGAGAGTGTATTGAAGGGCTGAGTTAGACAGTGTACACCCCTTACATCACTAGAATGAATTGAAAGACAGGAAGGACTACATTTCTGTTTGGAACTACCTTTCTTCAGGCACCTGGAGCAAAGAAAGTATAAGCCATCCAGCAACTTACCAATCTCCAGAGGCCTCTTCAGTGAAGGGGCCTGCAGCAGACAGGAAGTGTCTGAGAATGATGCAATACATTTTAAATGAACTGCCAAGGAACTGATGGAAACCAAATTGAATTTGAATGAAGGAATGAACAAAACTTTGTACAGGATGATTTCAGGTGTTAGGAATACACTTCCAATTTCACTTACTCTGACTTTATAGCCATTTGGAAGTTTTACTAATAGAGGATAAGGGAGATTCACTATGTTGTGCAGTTGAGATTTATCAAAGGTCATGTGGTGTGATGCCCCGGAATCTAAAATCCACAAGTCAGCCTTTGCATTAAAACATCTACATGATGGGTTGTCAAAGTCAATTGAAGAAGTGCAAGCAATCATACCTGCAAGGTTCATTGATGTTCCACTGGCCATGTTAGCACTAGCTGAGCCTTCTCCAATGCTTCCCGTCTGAAAATGTTTCAACAGGCTGACAATCTGTCCATATTGCTCTTTTGTAAGGTTGACATGTTGGTTTTGGCTTTCTCCTTGGGACTCTAGTTTTTCTCCTTCCTCAACGCTTGTCACTGCATTTGCTGTGACATTTCTTCCCCTATTGAACCTTGTATTGTTGATTGTACCCTTGCGTACCCTGCCTATGTTGCTGTTGTGATCCTTGATTGAAGCTTTGAGGATAACCATGGAGTTTATAACATTTGTCCTTAGTGTGACCTTGTCGTTTGCAGTAGTCACAGAAAGGTCGAGCCCTATTGTTCACATTTTGCTTTCCAGTTCCAGCAGTATAGTTTGTTTTAAAATTTCTTTCTCCCAGGTTTACATTCAGTGCTGTAGAATCAATGTCCAACTGATTTCTGGGCTTAAACTCCCTCTGTTTTTCTTCCTGTATAAGGAGAGCAAATGTTTGTGCCATATTTGGTAACGGGTTCATCATAAGTATACTTCCTCGAACAACTGTATATATCTCATTAAGCCCCATTAAGAACTGTATGAGTCTCCTATCTTGTTCTGCTTTATGCATATTCTCCTTCGCTCCACAGGTGCATATGCAGTTACAATGAGCCTTAACACTTAGAGTATTCAATTCCTCCCAGAGTTTCTTCATCTTCGTGTAGTATCCAGTGATATCAAGTACTCCCTGGCTTAAATCGTTGATTTCCTTCTGGATTTGGTACAATTTTGCCCCATTCGTCTGATCATATCGATCCTGAAGCTCTTTCCACAATTCGACGGAATCATTCACATATTCAACACTGTCAGCTATATCCCTCGATAGAGAATTCAGAATCCACGAGGTGACCATATCATCACATCTTTCCCACTGGCGAAAGAATGGAGAACTCGCAAGAGGTTTTTGAGTATCTCCAGTAATAAACCCTAGTTTATTCTTCACGGAGAGGGCTCTGAGTACACTCCTCCTCCAGGAGCGATATCCAAGTCCATCAAAAGGCACTGGAACTAAACTAGACCCTGGACTATCGGAAGGATGTATGTAAAATGGACTCCCAGCGTCGATTGTTGTCTGTATCGTTGCTGTTGTCGTGGCAGTGGTTGTTTCATCAACTTGATCTGTGATCGCCATGAGTATTTTGTGATAAATCTGCGAATGATAGTCACAGTGTTCTTCGTACAGTCGAAAATCCTTCAATTCGACAACGGATCGTCACTGCATGTGCTCGATCCAGATTTTTTCCCAAATCGTGATTATCAAAAATTGTAAGGAACCCTAGTTGCTCGAGTCACCTGAAGATAGCAAAGAAAGGAAAAAAAAATATGATGCGTGGTCGTTGATCGGACCTCCACTCTGATACCATGAGAAAAGGTTTGAGAGATGGAGGAGCTCCGAGCTCCTTCCAATGGAAGTCGAGGAAGTTTCTCGAAGAGAGAGAGAATGAAGAGGGGAAGAGTAAAGTCGGTTTAACCAAAAAGATATTTTTCCCAAAAAAACTAAAAGAAAAGTATTTCTCAGTACATATATACATATTGACTACTAACTAATAATGCTGACTCAGCATTTGATACAAATAGATATACAGTGATATACACAAAATATACACAGGAATATACAGTACATTGATGTTCTCAATAGAACTCATTTTTATTGATCCGAGAAAAAATAAGTTCAGAGGGGCAAACACCATTTCGACCAATTCCAAGACATATATGCACAATTCGAAATGGCAAATAGTAATCATTACTGATAAATTATACAATAAAATTCCCCAAACATTTAAGTCAAGGTTACATTTTGTTTAACGAAGTTAGTAGTTATAAACCAAATATTCGTTGAACGTACAAAGTAATATGTAGGAAATTTTTTATTTTCATGGAATTCAGTCCATATATGGAAGCATAATGTAGCAAAATATAGTCTTTATTTGGGGCGACATGTTACATCAAGAGTTAGAAGGCGTTCAATTGGATAAAAAAATAAAGAAAATAAAGAAAAAAAAATTCTTTTAAATCTCAGGAAGATTTACTAATTCTGCCATCTTACACAGGAGAAAAAAAAAAAAACTTGTCTCGTCAAAAAAGTCAACTTGAGAAAACAATTGAATCATTTTAATTTACTACTATTTCTTATCTACAGGAGTAACAAATGGAGTTTGACTTTTCTTTTTTTTTTTTTTAAGAAAAAAAAAAGAAAAAAAGGAAGGTTTGATCCATCATTAAATGTGCAGAGTATGGAGAACAGCGATATGGACAGTAAATAAGTGAGTTTAATTCGTTGACAAAAGTGGGAAAATATTTCTTTATTGTTCTTTTTATTTAATGTCTCGAGTCGGGTATTTTCATGTAAAATAAGATAGACAAATTTGGATGTTTACGAAAAGTAGGTTTTTCCACATGGGAGGTTTAGTTATTAGGCTGCGTAGCCACAGCAGAACCATACACAACAGCTGTACTGAAAGCTGTGAGAATATATTAAAGAAAAAAGAGAGCGAGAAATAATTAAAAAAGAAAATATATCTCATAAATTACAAAAAGAGAATAATTAATGCATATAGTAGGAAACTAGAACATGCTTGAACATGTTAGAAATTTCAATATCATTAATGAAATTTGTGTAGAGTCTAATGTCTTATTGACTTTATTATTAAATTCGAAAAAATGGGGTCGAATGCCAGCTTTGCTTAGTTCCTCATTGTTGAATCTATTAAATGAAACTTAGGTATGCAATAGCTTCGTAATTGAGTTGTCATCGTATATTTCACATGTTCTATATTTTGCTTATTTTGAAGAAAAAAAAGTCTTGCCTTCTTCTCTATCGAATCTTTTTTCACACAGAAAGATAGTAATAAAGATTTTGTTTTATTATTTGTGACAATTATATAGATGAAATTGATGTGAGTGTTAAAACTTTCATATATAAAATATTTCAGTATATTTTGCCTAAGTGTATTCAAATGAGTATTTGACTTGTTAAACATTAGAGTGTGAGTGTTATACGTATGTGTTGAATGAGACGAGGCCAAAAAGAATTTGGAAATACATTTACGTGCATTGTATTCGAAGTTTGCTTTTAGACAAAAGCTTCATTATTAAGTTGCCGGTTAATTAAGGCTAATCAATGTCATTGCATTTGGCCTTTTTTTTTCTTTTTCTTTTTCTTTTTCTTTTTCTTTTGGGGGATAATAATCTGCAAATTGGAATCAATCATCTCCCTGCAATAATCTCCGACCCTACCCTTTGGACCCATCACCCCACATTTCTTCAAGAAAAATAAAAAGAAAAAGAAAAAAGCGTAATTGCAGACAGGAAAAGATGGATTATCATCTTGCTCCCAAAACTCGGTCGTCTTTAAACCGAGAAGCAAAATGAAATTAGTTAAAGAATAATATAAAGTGAACTCTCAATTTTCTTCTTAACTATAAAATTTATTCAGTACTCGTGTAATTACAACATTTACATAACCGAAAAACCAACAACAGAAAAGTGTCTATCCAAGTGTATGTGCTCATACTCTAGAGGAGGTCGGCTACTAATAATTAGAATATACTCTAGGTAAAAATACATAAATTTAGTATATAAACTTTAAATAGCTACTCCTCCCATTTCAGTTTATGTGAAATTATTTCCTTTTCGGTTTGTTTCAAAAAGAATGACACATTTCTAAATTTGGAAATAATTTAACTTAAACTTCCAATTTTACAGAAACTTGTATAACCACACAAATACGCTAGACTCTTTTTTGATTTGTTTAGAACCACAAATTCCAAAAATATTATTTTTTGTTAAACTCTCTGCTGAATCAGAAAGGTTCACATAAATTGAAACTGGGGAGTATATCTTATCTAAATGTTGTAAAAAAAAAAGGTATCATCGTGATCGTATAAAATTGTAAGCCGGTTTTACTAATACATCTTAAGTTGAATAAACAATAAAATAATTTTTATGTCATTTTTAGTGTGCACACATTGCTATTATCGCCTTAATTATATGGCAGAGGGAGAATAATATGTAGTAATATATACCACCAAAAAGACATACTCACTATAAAGCAAGCTAAACAACAAGAAGCACCGCTCCCATTGACGCATGCATGCTTTCTCCTATCCTTTTCTCTTCTTCTCTCCCCATTTTCTTCTTAACTATTTCCCTCCCATGCCCTGAATTCGCCGGAAAGTTTTGAACAGTACAGCTTTTCATTTCTCTTGTATATAAATTATATTGTATGTAAAGATGAAAGAAATTGTATTAAAATCATCTTTCACAATATCCAAATGCATCTTTTTCGGTATCCTCATATCAATACCTCTCCTCCTTTTTCTCTCTCATCGGAATTCTTTCTCCGCCCTCATCTCCACAACCACCACCACCACCACCACAACATCAAACTCCGATTCGGATCTCAAAATTCGACCCGGATACGCTACCTACGATTCCTACATCAAGAAACAGCTCAACAAGACCCTCAATCCGAAACTACGAAAAATATGGACAACCCGTGACTGGGACAGGAAAATTCAAGTTTTCTCAAAATTCTTCGGCCAGCTTAAAACTAGGAGCCTTCTTTCAGCTTCATCGAAAGTGCTCTGCATTGGTGCCCGAATGGGTCAGGAAGTTGAAGCGCTGAAGCGGGTCGGAGTATCCGATTCGATCGGAATGGATCTTGTACCGTACCCGCCGTTGGTAGTGAAGGGCGATTTTCATAATCAGCCGTTTGAAGATGAGACGTTTGATTTGGAATTTTCTAATGTTTTTGACCACGCGCTTTATCCGGAGAAATTCGTGTCGGAGATCGAACGGACGTTGAAGGCCGGCGGAGTTTGTGTTTTGCACGTGGCGTTATCTAAGCGGTCGGATAAGTATTCGGCGAACGATTTGTATAGTGTTGAGCCGTTGAAGAAACTGTTTAAGCGGTCCGAGTTGGTTCATACTCGAACCGTTGATGGATTCGGTTTGGATACCGAAGTTGTTTTCAGGAAAAAGAGTTGATCGAACCGGTTCGGATATTTTTTATTTTTTCTTTTTCTTTTTTTCCAGGTTGGAGTAATGCTGGACATTAAATTCTTTTTGGACTTTAGTTAGTAGTTGTAGGACAATATAACTTTTATTCTTTGAAGAACAAGTTGGGTATCCTTTTCTCTGTCTGTGGCTGACTTTTTGGTTATTGCTATGTGCCTTTATCATTATTACTTCTATTTTTATTTTTTTTATACAAAGAAAAATAATACAAAAGAACTTCATTCTTATTTTTTATTTTTGTCATTGGTAATAGCTCCAATCCAAAGACATTTTCCCTCACTACAAACTGAAATGGTGAGAGTTCTTTTTTTATCTTTTAAATCTAAATATTTTAGTAATAGAATTACCTAAAATCAGAAATCTGCAATATAACTAGGTCTCAATTCCAAGCAAATTAAAATTAACTAGGGCTCAGTTCCAAGCAGATTAACATTAGTTATAGCATTAAATGTTTCTTATATTTTACACTGACATTTTCAATAGTTTTATGTTAATTGTCAGTTTATTGTAATGCTTCTCTTTTATGGGTTCTTTCACATTTCTTACATTTTTTACTGACATATTCAATAGTTTTATATTAGTTGTCAATTTATTGTAATGCTTCTCTTTTATACGTTCTTTAGCATTTCTTACATTTTTCAGTGGTAAAATAAGCAAAGCTCGTAGAGGTTAGGAATGTAATATGAAGAAACAACAACAAAATTGATATAGTTAAATTCAAAAGAAAAGACTACCATAAAAAAGTATTCTATCAGAAATGAAATTCATTTGTTGTACGCTTTTGAAAAAAAGAAAGGTAGCTAACTAATACTTATAGCCTGTTTGGCCAAGCTTTTTTTTTTTAGCCAAAAGTGTTTTTTTTTTTTTTTGTCAAAAGCATTTTTGGCCAAAAATTGTGGCAAAAAATTTGGTGTATTTGGCCAAGCTTTTGGAAGGGAAAAAAATGCTTTTGAGGAGAAGCAGAAAAAAGTAGTTTCTCTCCAAAAGCACTTTTCTGATAAGTACTTTTGAGAAAAATACACCTAGAAGTAGTTTTCAAAAGCTTGGCAAACACTAATTACTGCTCAAAAGTGATTTTTCTAATTAATTAGCCAAACACAAACAACTTCTCACCAAAAACACTTTTTTTAAAAGTACTTTTGAGAAAAGCACTTCCCAAAATAATGATTTTAGAAGCTTGGCCAAACGGGCTATAAATGTCCAACGGAAGTGGAACGATGACAGCTGAACATAGAATAAATTACTCATTTTTTCAATCAAAGCATGATGCGTCAACGACGGGCACAAGATTTCTTTATTTTTAATTGTCAATATCACTTTCGGCCATGAATGCTGGCTAAGCACTCAAATTAGTTTCTGACTTTTTTCTTTTTCTTCACTTTTCTAATCCCCTTAAATGGCTCATATCACTCGAATCTGGATTAATCAAACCAGTAAGTTTCTTCTAATAATAAATTTCGTCAACCACAGCAAAGGTATCTTTCTTTAGGTTTCAACTATTGAATGAATTACACAGACACAACGTAATCAATATCAGACAAAATTCCAATACCAGAGAACCAAAATCACGTCATGTGCATGGATATAAATCGGTGTACAATGTAAACCTGATTAACCTTTAATTAATGATAATACATAAGTACGTACAGGCAAAAAATAACACTTTTCCCCTTGTTTTTCTTTTTCTTGTTGCTTCGGAAAGCCCAAGGTGACAGACGATTAAAGAGGGAGGAGGGTGCTATGGACGGCTTGATTTTGTACCAAAATTTGGGTTTGGGTTCAGTTCACCTGCAACCAAGGAGATGGGAGTTACTGGTTCCAAGCGTCTGCTAGACTATCAGGGACAACATCAACAGGCTGACTTTCTTCATCTTGACTTTGAGCAGCTATAACCTTAGCCTTCTTGAAACGGCTAGAGCTTCTCAGGATCATATCTATGGTTATGTCCTGACCTAAAAAGCTGTTGGAATATACAGTGATCATAAGCACCAGGAATTTCATAAATAAATAAAAAAATATACATGGATAACTTAGACAAACTCATTGTCTATTCCATCTGTGCTAAATCATTTGCTCTAACACCAGAGTTTCTGACATGCAAATATTCCCATCCCATCTTATAAGACTAAGAGTATAACATTCCACCTGTCATTAACAGCCTTTACCAATCAGACACTCATTTAACTGTTGTGCACAAGTTACACAGTCACAAAGTAGAGGAATGAAAGAGATAATAGCTTTTGAGCAAAGAAAAAATTTATCAAGTACAATAATTTAACATAATATTTTACGGCAACACATACAGGCAGAATTTACCACCAGATCAAGCTACTGCCTAGTGGTTAAGAGCAAAATTCAGAACAAAGAGTAGGATAAAGAATTTTACCATTCATAAGCCATAATCTACCATTAGAAAGAACCATGTGTAACTAAAGAAAGTACGGACACAATCCCAGCTTGCACATGGAGGTGAATTTGTAGAGAAAGGAATAGAAGATTTTTTGACGATGAAAAGTAGTCAATTTTGAATGTCAAATCTAAAGGTATTATGTCGATATCTTTTTAGTGTAGATTAGAATGGGTAAATGATGCTGAAACGTTTTCCAAGTTCATAGAATCTCTTGTATAGGCAATCTGGTAACTTTTCTCAGTTTTTCACTTGTAATATTTTGGATGCAAACATAGCACCTCCTTAGTGCTGATTTAAACATCGATGCACATTTAAAAATGAACCATGTTTAACTAAGGGCTTTAAGAAAAAAATTAAGAGATCTCACACTTGCTTTGATTTGACCTTACGCTTTGCACCAGCATCTTCGTGTTTTGCAACATTAGCTCCTATCAAGTCAACATAGGGAAGTAGAAATTAGCTTATAAACGGAATGAAGAATGGAGAACAAGAAATTATAGAATGTATTTGAGATATATGTTGCATTGATTTTTTATCCATCAGCAAAATAAGGAGTCCTTCTCTATATGGCCAACTGGAGAATGTACTTGAGATATATGTTGCATTGATTTTTTATCCATCAGCAAAATAAGGAGTCCTCTATATTACCATAGGAATGAGTACGCCCATAAAGTAGAAATGAAGAACTTCACGTTTTCCTTTAAATCCTAGCGGCTAGCCTGTCAGGGGAGGAGGATAGGGTGGGAGTTGATTCGGTGTTGTTTGGAAATCAGAAGAATGGCAGCCACAGAGCTCAGTGCTTATGTTACCTGGCCTTCTGTTTAGCAAAATTTTCAATTGGTTTGATATGATATTATACCAAGCCTTACAGATTGTTTATCACCCTAACATGAGTCACTTGGCTTTTTTTGAGTAAAAGGACTCAAATTTTTGTGGATGTCAATGGAATAAGAACATATTTGACTGTCTAGACATGCAAGGAAATTTTAGCAGATTAAATTTGCAATTACCATTTGGAGTAGAAGCCTGACTTATTTCACTTCCTTCAACTGAGTAGCCAGAAGAGGATGAATAATCAGATGGAGTCTCAGTCGCAGAATCAGAATTTCCACCCCCCTTACTGCCAGACCTTCTCGATCTACTATCCCCAAATTTAGGCCCTGATGTAGGAAGCACTCCTCTCTTTGGTGTACAATCCTCGAGGTCTCCAGTTCTCATTTTTGTATTTTTGGTAGCCAAACTTTGGATTTCTGAACCTGTTTGCTGTCTTCTGTTCTCGGGGAATCTATCAGAACCTCTTGAGCTTGAGCTGGACATAGATTCGTCCATAGGTTCTTTACAATCCTTTTCGGAAGCAGGAGCATCAAAAGTTGCAAGCTTTCCAGTGTCTTCAAGAGTTTTACCTCCCTGAACACTTAAGTGACTTGGAACTGTCACCTCAGTTCTTGAGTTCAAAATATCTTCCGAAGTGCTCCCAGAAATCACTCCATCCTTCTTCGATTTTCTGCCAGCTTTTATGTTTCTGTTTGATTTCGTTGGTTTCTTTGATGCAACTTCACCCTGTTGTTGACCAGGAATAAAATATTTCTTGAAGTTTATACTCTCGCTTTTATCAGTATTAATTTCAGGCTCGTGAGTCTCCTCTAACTTACCCTTGGCTAAAGGATGAGATGACACACGAAAAGAGTTAGCATCCCTTAGCTCCTTCCCAGAACTCTTTGAATTGGAATCAGTACCGGGATTTCTCTGATTTTCGAACTTGGTAATATCCAACTGATCAACATTACTATTTTTACCTGACTCAATTATCTCCATTGGCTCTGGCAGAGGGCTCACGTCTATCGGGTTATCATTTGAAGCTGCTAATTCTTTGTGACTGACTTCCTGGTCTTGAATAGCCAAATCGGATTTGCTCTTCTTAGAACTTAGGCTCTTTTTGGTTTTGGTTTTGGTTTTCAGTTTCCTTTCTACAAGGCTTACAGTCTCCTGATTTTTACCAGTTTGGTTAAGCAGCAAATGCTCAACCTCATTTTCCTTCTCCTCAACAGGAAGAAGCTCTGCCTCAATGAGAGTTGTCTTCTCAACGTGTTGATGAGAACCTGCAGCATAGGCAATCTTTGACTCTTGTTCTGAAGCTCCCTTACTTTCGGTGGCGGGCAATGCATCTTTATCTTGATTAGACCCTTGAAAGAAATTATTAGCAGGAGGATCATGCATTGCCGAAGGGGCACATGAAACATCAATATTACTGGTGGCAACCTCCTTCCTTTTTGCCTTCTTTTTCTTACTTCGACCAGAGTTTTCATGTCCTTCAGCAACCTTCACATCAGATGGAGCTGCAGAGACAGTTTCCACTTCTTTAATGGTCATTTCTGCTTTGGCATGATCTGAAGATTTGCATGTTGCAGATTGAACTTGCATGAGATCCTTGTTATGAGACGACCCTTTCACCTCTGTATCTAGACTAATCTGCAGCTTTCCAGCATCAGACGAAATTTCAACTTTCTTACTCTGCTCAGTTACAGGACCAGCTATAGGTCCATTTCCTGCAACTAAAGAGGGGCAGTTCACCCTACTGTCATCCTCTCCATCTAATTGATCAGGAATCTTTTTAGCAGATTGCCTGCGACTCTTTTTCTTCCGCTTCGTGCTGCTTGCATTTCCAGATTCAATGTTCCCCTTGTCATCCAATGACTTTTCAGCTGAGAGAAATTGTTCTTCAGTTGCCCCAGTTGCTTTGTTGTTATCTGAAGGAAGGGAGGTCTCAGCACCTTGAGTAACTGACAACTTGCCTCTTTTCCCTATTTCGTTTATATC